GTATATATATATATATATATATATATATATATATATATATATATATATACTCCATAAATGTATGTATCGGGTGTGTCAGTAACTATTGCTATTTGGAATATCTTCGAAACAAAGCTGGCTTTCAAATCTTTGGAGTTAGTGTATTTAAAAAAAAAGTGTCTTATGATGATAACGTTTTTTCTAAGTAGAATAACTTCGCAGACTTCCCTCCTCTCTCTCTCTCTCTCTCTCTCTCTCTCTCCCCTCTCTCTCGAGAAATTATATATTATTCTATCAAATTGTATATTATTCTATGAAATTATATAAAAATATTCTACGAGAAATTATATATTATTCTATCAAATTATATAAAAAGATTCTACGAAAATTGTAATATTTCATAAAGGTAGTTAATAGAATAAATCCATTTCATAATATTTTATATTCTAAATGAGAAATGCTTTGGAAAATATTATACTACCAAGTATACTCTTTCCGAACCGCCCGAATCTTTCTCGAGTTTTAACTTATGATTAAAATATATAAAACTTTTCTAGAGTGAAAATCGCATTAAACTTTGTATATTTCATTATGATCCGTGTGTTCTCCCGTAATATAACTATTGTTCAGCAAGCGTGTGCATTATTTCATAAAAATATCCAGTGTTTATTGATTAACATTGACAACGAATAAAAATATTGACGATAGATTGCAATACTATTTTAAAATAAGAAGAAAACTTCGTCTCATATTTTTTAATAAGAATGAATTTTTATACGAATAATGTAATTGAGTTCTTCACGTAATTAAGATATAGTAGTATGCATATGTATTTCTAATTTATATATATAAGTTAAACTGGTCACTACTATATATATTTAAGGTTATCATAAATATGTTGTCATATATCGGTAAATATACGATATTTTTCACTAATCTATTCACGTGAAAAGACGAAATATAGAAAAGTGTGCACTTTCGTAAAAAGCATTAAATATAAGAAATTATAATATTAAGATAGTCACAACATTCTTCTATATTAACACACCGAATATTGTAATATGATATTATTCAGACAAAATAATGTCTAAAATCGGGATATAAGGCGGCTTAAAGATAATCTTTAAGATGCCTTAAAGACATTTATACGTAAATCATCTGAAAGATGATCTTTAAAACGTCTTATGTCTCGATTTTAGACATTATGTTGTCTGGATAGTTTATCAGACGACTGTAAGCGTGATCACACAATGACATGCTGAAATCGCGCCATCACGATGTTAATGACAGACAACAACGAGGAACAATTATACTTTGTCTGTCAGCATGCGTGAGTATATTTAAATGTGCAATTTAACACGACAATGACAAGATTCGATTTCTAGAACGTTAATTACAAGCTGTGATACGGCTATAACTTTTTCCGGCATTTCCGTCAGTTCTCGCCATCAAAATCTAAACTTTAGATTTTCGCTGTAAAATTACGATTATATCAACATAAGCTGAAGCTGCTGCTACTTCCTGCGAGAGTTCACAAAGGAGAGAGGTTTGACTTTTTAAGAACCAAGATGAAAAATCAATTGAAAGCTAGCGAAGACTTGAAACCTTCTTTTTCTTCTTATATATGACCCAGAATTTCTATTCCATTAGCCATGAAGACTTGAAACCATATACTTGTTGTCAATATTGCCAATGTAAACAAAATATACCGCTTGTGGAGGTAAAGGGATAAGGGCTCACCTTGTCATTCTGGGACTTCCATATTTTTGCATATATGCAACCTATTTTTAAAATCATATTTTTAACCTGTTATTTTTATAATCAAATTAAACTTATTATTTTAAGAAGTCTCCATGTATCTAATATATTCGTTTATTATTATGAGTGACTATTAAATAAAAAACATCGCAAGTATAATGAAAAGTGTCTTTTATTAAAAATATTCATAATTCGTTTATACAAACAATACATCTTGTATATTATATATAGAAATGTTATCAACATAATGCTAAAATCGTATACAAATTTTCCAGATCGTTTAGTTAAGTCTCCATAAAATAGATGTGTTACGATAAACAGTTACATAATCATTACGAAAATATACAGAACAAGTTTCCAAATCCCTCCATGGCCTCCAAGATCTAAAAAGATTTTGAGCATTATGGAGAGGTTATATATGAGAACCTAAAATTTATCTTAAAATAGACATGTTTTGTTCTGCTTTTTGTGCCGATGTAATGGTTAAAATCAACGGATAGTGTCTAATCAGTGACAAAAATATGTTCCGCGAACATGTCCACTCATTACTAAAATCTGCTTGAAATTCCAAAATTATATCAGGTTGTTTAAGAGACGGATCGGCTACATACATATGGTAAAATGTATTATAAATTTCAACATGAAATATTTACTGCGCCTGCATCGATTACAAAGTTCTAGGTTATAATAATCCTGCTCAAAATTTGGTCCTACCAGGACAATTGTTAGATCCTTTATGAAACTTATGAGATGTAAAAATATGTCCCAAACATTTAAATATTCCCTTTCTAAGACATTTAGCACTATCACGTGAATAACATATTTATATTGAAATATGTTTGAGTCGAGAATGGATCGTAATAGTGGTTGTACCAGCGTTCTTCATTCCATAGCAGAATGTCCTGATACATAATCACAGTAGAAATATTTAGAATTCATTGCCTCTATAATGGTATTTCGTGCGGAACACAAATATGTTGTAATAAATATATTCATGTCATTAGTATGTTCTGTCTGACAAAATTTAGTGAATTTTAACACAGTGAATTCGCATAAAAGAACCTCGATATTAATGTTGATATACAATACAAACTGTTGGCATTTTGACTAATGTAAACCTTGAAATATGGTCACTGCAATAATAGTCCGAATAACACGTTCTGCAATGTCTATGACAAATAGAGCATGATTTTGCAAAAAGTATCATCTGTTCTTCATACTGCTTTAGTTTACGTAGAGTCCATTTCTTAATTGCGCTTAGAAATTGTTGTCTTAACTGAATCCAATTAGTTAAACTTAAAGCACAGTTTCGGCGTAGTTTATTCTCTTGTAAAAATCTATTTATATATTCACAAATCTGCAAATGTTGAGGATGGTGTAACAACCTGTGGTGACGGTTTCAATAAGAGATCATATCGCATATGATATAAAATATGATTACATGATATAAAATATCCATTGTGTACTTTCTTGCAGACGTGGCACATCTTGTCATGAAAGAAGCTATTATAATTATCATGTAAACACAATTTGTTCACATCAATTACTTTAGAAAAATAACTCATGGTGGAATATTTTGTTTGACGTATGATATCAATTTAAAAATGAAGTATGTTGCTTCTTGTAATAGAAATAATGTAGTTGTCTGTCCACAGCAGATTTATAACTGAGCTGTTCACATTTCAGATCTATAGCAGACTACTGTAGAGACGACATTAAGAAGTCCTCTGGTTCGCTAGTTAATATTGACAAACTGATTTGGGTATTTGAAAATGTAACTAAATACGAATAAACGTTATTGAATAGAATGTTATAAATAGGCGCACATGGGATCCTTATAAATGTTTATTACATGTAACTTGTGTATTAAGGAAAAAATATCCTGAGGAAGAAGAAAGTTTTTATTTTATTTCAAAGTATTAACAATTGTTAATACTTTGAAAAAGTGGAAAGATGAATTATTTTTACTGTATATATCAGGTATGTAAATATGAAACCGGTTTTTTCGTATAGAAAATATACGTTTATTGTATGAAAATGATAAAAAATATTTTATTCGAAATATTGCCCATCGCTAGCTATACATTTTTCCCACCTGTCTGACAATTTGTGGATGCTACGCCAAAAAAACCGTTACTCTTTTGAGGCAAACCAGTCATCGAGCCATTTTCGTACATTTTCGTTAGCAGTGAAGCGCTGCTTAGCAAGTGCGTGTCCCATCGATGCAAATAAATAGTAATCGGACGGAGCCAAGTCTGGTGAGTAAGCCGCATGCGAAAGTATTTCCCAACTAAACGCCTCAATCGTTTCCTTGACCAGTTTTGCTGTGTGTGATGGTGCATTATCATAAAGCAAAATCACTTTGTGTTGCCTTTTTTTTTATATTCTGGTCGTTTTTCACGCAAAGCTTGATTCAAATCGATCATTTGTTGTCGGTAGCTTTCAATATTAATATTAAGCTTTCAATATTAACGGTTTGGCCAAGTTTTAGCAGCTCATAATAGATCACACCCTTCTGATCCCACCAAACACAGAGCATTGTCTTCCGTCCATAGCGATTTGGCCTTGCAGTCGATGTCGATGGTTCGCCTGGAGTTACCCATGATCTTTTACGCTTAGGATTCTCAAAATATATCCACTTTTCATCGCCAGTCACAATTCGATGGAGAAATGACTTTCTTTTGTACCTGGCGAGCAGCATTTCGCAAGTGGTTTTTCGGTTTTCCTGCTGTCTTTCATTCAGTTCATGTGGAACCCATTTTCCCATCTTCTGGATCTTTCCCATGGCTTTCAAACGTATGGAGACGGCTTCTCGTGTCACATTTAATTGATCCGCGAGTTGTTGTTGCGTTTGAGTGTCATCCTCATCCAACAATGCTTTCAATTCGCTGTCTTCAAACTTTTTCGGTGGTCTTCCACGTTCTTCGTTTCTCACGTCATAATCGCCATTTTTGAATTTTTTAAATCACTCAAAACACTGTGATTTACCAAGAGCATGCTCACCGTAAGCTTCGACAAGCATTCGATGC